AGACTGCCTGGAGGGGGTGTTCTCATCCCAGCGCTGCCCACAGAGTCGAAGCCAGGGCAGCTGAAGAAGGCCGGGCTGTTTGAGCACATCTTGGAACAGCTGGATAAATCCAGGGAGCACAGGGACATCTGCGTCACCGGCCTGGGCCTCCTCTGGTCCCTGCTGGTGGACAGTGAGTGCCCCCACACCCCTGCATGCTCTGTGCCTTCCTGGTGGGTGGGGAGTGCCCCCTGTGCCCTTACACCCAGTCACCTCCATGAGGCTGAGCCCCTCTCTGCCCAGTGCCTGGGCACCTGGGACAAGCCCCTCCCCAGAGCTTTCTCAGAAACAGAAGGAACAGGAAGGAGGCAGGGAGGGACCCAGGCAGACAGTAGCAGCCATGGGGATGGGCAGGCTCACAGAGGCCCCCCAGCTGTGCCTCCAGCCGTGGGGCCCTGGTTCACCCCAGGAGCCACTGGCAGATCTGGTCTTGGCTTCAGCTCAGAATGGGGCTGGCGTGATGCTTGCCACGCCCCCGACTCTGTCCCTCCCATGCCCGGACCCCAGGGGCAGTGCCAACCAGGGGGAGAGGGCTCTGAACCTGGGGAGGCAGGGGAAGCTAGCCCAGTGTGGAAGTTCTGGGGCCCAGGTAGTGAAGCCTTGACCTCGGACGTCCACTGGCTCCCAGGTGGGAGGTAGGGGTGGGCATGGTCAGCAAGTGCTGCCCACTGCATTCCCCATGGGCTCCAGCTGTCCTCACGGACAGAGACCCCTTGGAGAAGGCCACAACACGGGTGGCCCAGGTGCTGGCCACTCACCCCTCGGACAGTGAGATGGCGGAAGCTGGCTGTGGCGTCTTCTGGCTGCTGTCCCTGTTGGGTGAGCGGCCTGGCCAGGGGCTGGGGGCTGCGGCGGGGCCGAGGTTGGCCAGAGGCAGACAGGGGTCCCCCCCGCCTCCCAGGCTGCATCAAGGAGGAGCAGCTGGAGCAGGTGACAGTCCTGCTGCTGCAAAGTGTGCGGCTGTGCCAGGACCGTGTCCGGCTGGTGACCAATGCCTACCGCGGGCTGGCCAGCCTTGCCAAGGTGTCAGGTGAGGGCCAGCCACAGGGGCTGTGCTCAGACCACACGGCCAGGCCAGCTCCCCACAGCCGCTCCCTGGTTCCAACAACACACTATGTGCTGAGACCCCTGCATGGGGGGAATTTGGGGCCGGGTGTGCTGAGGAGGGTCCTGGCCTAGCTCCAATGGCCCATGCCTTGTGACTCGGCCTGGGTTCCTAAGCTGACCCACCAGGAGTTCAGGGTACAGCTGGGCAGGGCTTCCACTGCCCACCCCCCACCCCTTGGCTCCAGCTAAGCGCCACTAGGGGTGGTTCTGGGGGCAGGACAGGCTGAGACCACAGCTGGGTCCGGGGGGCAGTGGGCCTTTCCTCACAACGGGCCTTGGCTCCATTGTGGTGGCTGCCACTGGCTGAGGCAGTGTGCTGTCTCAGTGCTGCCCTGGCCAAGGGCACAGGGGAGGGCCCAGGGTGCAGGAGACCGCCTTCTTCAGGAGTCCGGCAGGAGCTGGGCCGAGCACCCCTCCCGCAGGCACCCGGGCAGGACTAGGGACCTCCGTGTGCTCTGGCGAAGCTCCCTTCTTGGGGGTGGGGAGGGGTGCCTCGGGGAGGTCTGGCCAGCACCAGCACTGCCCACCCCTCCACAGGGCTGGTGGCTTTCAGGGTGGCGATGCCTGACGAGGCCGGCAGTGGCCTGGAGCTCCTGCAGAGCACTTACCAGCTGCACCAGGACGACCCGGAGGTCGTGGAGGTCCTGTGCATGCTGCTGGCCCAGCTCACCAGCTACAGTGAGCCCGCCCTGCCTCCCGCGCCAACTTCCTGAGCCCAGTCCTGCCTCTTGGGGGCAATCCCAGGCCTGCCCAGCACCCATTGGGCCCCACCCCTCCCACCTGCTGGGGGTGGGCACCCGGCTCAGGACCAGGCGCCTCTGTCCGCAGAGGAGATCCTGCCGGAGCTGGAGTCATCCGGCTTGGTGCTCCTGCTCCGCAAGATGAGGGACCGCTTCACCTCCAGCTTGGTGAGTGCCCACCTGGTGCCTGCAGAGGGTGCCAGCCCACTGCCATCAGGTCTACCCTGGCCTGGGGGGCGGAGCCGTGACCTGTCGGAGGCCACCTTCCTGGGGGTTCCTGGCAGCTGCCCTCCCTCCTGCAGGAGCTGGTTTCTTATGCAGAAGAGGCACTCTGCAGGCTGGAGGCTGTGCCCAGATAGCTCCCCAAGAGGGGCCTGCTGTGCACCCCCCACCCCAAAACACGGCTTTCCTCCCCGACTGCAGCTGAGCTGTGGAGCTTGGCATGCGCTCCCACCCGCACCAATAAAGGCCAAGTCTCCACCGCCAGCACGCGTCGTCCCTGATGAAGGGTGGGTGTGTCTGGGTGTGGCAAGGAGGACCCCCCCCGGGGCACGCCCAGCTGACCTGACAGACTGCAGGAAAGAGGGAGGCTCAGGGGAGACTGCCTGGAGGGGGTGTTCTCATCCCAGCGCTGCCCACAGAGTCGAAGCCAGGGCAGCTGAAGAAGGCCGGGCTGTTTGAGCACATCTTGGA